TTCCTAAAGTCTCTCACTATCCAGAAGATGTTTTTGTATAAGACGTGCCCACGTCTAAACTCAACACCACTTCTGGTTTAGGAAACAAGATTCAAAGAAACTCTTTTTTATAAATTTGCTTTATCTTTTCTTTATTCCTTCAGAAGAATGTGCGCCATCAGTCGTCCTCTCCGCTCAATTCGAGAACCAACCCAGCTAACGAACAACACCTTCACCCCCAGCTCGTGACAGATACCGTGGTTGATGCTCAACATTTTCAGGGGAGTTTTCTACTCTTATTCTTTTATGGTTTTTTAGCATCTACTTTTGATACATTGAGGAAAATGTATGGATTAAGTGTGGGGGAGAGTATTTCATACATGGTTTTTCTTTGAACATAATTTTTCTTTAGTTTTTTCTCTAAAAAACAAGTATGCTTTAGTTCTTTTTTGTGATTTTTCTCTTCGAAATTCCAGATTCTTTCGATGTTTGTCCTTACATGATTTGGATTATTTTGAATTATTGAATTAAGTTGAAGCATAATAGGGGATTAGCTTGAGTAGTTGAATTCTTATTTGCTACACACTGGTTGATTACTCTTGATGACTGGTTGAATGAAAAATGTGTGGGGTTTAATACATGTTTACCCTTTATGCAAGTTTTTGGGCCAATGAGCACTCATTTTCAGCATGCTCTATTTCTTTATTGAGTGATTGCCATACATAGTTGATTTTTCTAGAACTTGTTTTGCTATACATGTCGAAGACCACATTTTAGAATTGGATGCATCAAGAACGATAAGGGCATTTAGGTGAAACCACTTTTAGCTTTCTTAAAGAGCCTACCCTAATTATCATCCTTAGAAAGTCAATTTTGAGCCTGAGCCTTTTTGCTTTAAATTAACCATGGTACAAGCAAATATTAAATCATTTTTGTTAATTTCCCCTCTTTTAGACCTTGAATTGGATGATTGTATGAGCTTCTTCACATGAGAATTCAAATTATCTTGAGAAGATCGGAAGAGGTTGGAATACAGTGATTCAAGTTGCAATCTCATTCATTGAGAAAAAGAAAGAAAAAATCGTGCAAAGGAAAGAAAGAAAAAGAGATTGTGCAAAAGAAAAGAAAAAATGTTACGTGGCTTAAAGAGAACATTTGAGATTGAGTTCCATGTGGATAAGTTTGTATGACTCCTTCGATAAAAATAACTCAAATTCATTTCCTACCAAACCTTACCTAAGCCCCATTACACCCTATTTAAGACCCTGAGGTTTTTATGCATTCAATTCATTTATTAGTGGTGGGGATGTGATAGGTTAGCAAGCCTATGGTAAAAATATTTCTATATTTTGGATTGAGAGTTTATTGACACCTAAAACACTTCGAGCGTATTGAGTGAATCCAATGTGAGGGTATTAGATCCCATTGCATTTTGATTTCGAAAAGATTGATGGAGTGATTATTCATGTGTGTTGGTTTATGAGAATTTCTTCTACGAATTGCTCGTTCCTTACTTGTGTCTAGATTTGAGTCTTTAAGGCATGACAATTTTGATTGTGGAAGGAGGAGCAAAGGGAAGAAGAAGGATTAATGTTGAGAAGAGTTATGAATTTGAACTATTGTATGATTTAGGACAAGCATTGGTTTAAGTGTGGGGGAATTTGATCAGATGCATATTAGACATATATTCTATGATATTTTCCTCATATTTGAATAACTAAAATTACTTAAATCATGGATTTTAATTTATATTTCGTATTTTATGGATTAGGTTGATGATTTGGATAAAACAAGTTCAAAATCTAATGATTAGCATGATCTTCACAAAATCCCCAAATTAAGGAAGAAAAATCGAAATTCAAGAAGTTGGCAAGACCAGAAGAGGTTTTCGCATAAGGTGTGGGCACGACTTATTCATCACGAGCTATCGTAGAAAAAGTCTTCAGTTAAGGCGTGGCGCGCCTTATCAATCCGTACAACCCTAAATTAGGGTTACGAATTTACAAGGGAAAAATAGTTTAATGACGGTTGGAAGACTCTTTTGAATTATTCTTATCTTTAGAAAAGGATGAGGGCATTTAAAACTCCTATTTTTGTGGTATTTTCTTTAAGGGAAACTTCCTTATTTAGAGTAGGAAAATCCTTATAAAAGGGGAGTTAGGGCATCAAGTATTCATCAAGTTTTACATCAAGTTTTTCATTAAGTTTTCTTTATTTTCTTTTGGTTTTCTTTCAATTATGAGCAGCTAAATACTTTTGTTCCAACTCGAGGATAATTGAAGTTTTGGTTCTTCAAGGATTGTGAGATCTAAATAATTTTCATTGTTCTTTTACTTCTTTGATATTTATATATCTTCTGTTTTTATTAAGAATTATTGTCTTGATTGATTGTGCAAAGGGCCTGTTGTTCAATTATCAAGTTGATAAATTGCCATTTAGAACTTTAAATCCGTAATTGTTTGAACATTCTAATATTAGTGGTAAAGTATCATAGTTGATTATGATTATGTTATGAAGGTATATAACCTAGTCTAAATGAATCGAGCTTGTGTATTCGTTGGCTAGAATTGGTGGTCCCTCTAGTGGTTAATGTTGTTGGTGGATTAAATCTTAAGAGCTTGTCTAGGATTGTTCATTAACAAGAGAAATAAACAAAGAACTTCTCTTGATTATCAAGAAACTAAGGAGAGACAGGTTGTTAGAGCTTCTCAATAACCATAACCAATTTAGTGAAAAGTAGAAGATTTTATCATTGCATCTATGAACAATTCTCTGAACTAATTCTGAAATTATACCTTTAGTTGGATATTTTCTTAATATTAATCTCTCTAAATTCTTGGTTATTTTTAAATGCTTTTTCTTTTTGATTTCTTGTCGATTTTAAAACCCCTTTAATTTGCTTTAATTTTCATTAAAAATAAGTCTACCCAATCCCTGTGGATTCGACCTTGCTTATCGCTACTACAAATTTATATTTCTAAAAGCAAGTATTATTATTTGTTGGATTCGACACCCACCACTTGTGTATGATTTTCCTTAATCATATCATTTTCTCCAAAAAAAAATAATTATAGGTTCGGAGGCTAAAATATTTAAGGGTAAAGTACACAAATGATCCCTTAACTATAGGGTATTACTTTATTGAGTCTTCCAATTATTAAAAGTTACAAAATGATCCCCACATTACAGGGCATTGCTTTGCTGAGTTTCTTGATTATTAAAAGTTACAAAATGGTCACTCAACTATTCATATGTTCTAAATTCGTCCTCATTAAAAATTAATGTTAATCTATTGACTGAGATATAATAGTCGTTTGAGATTTTGGGATCAGATTTTATCATATCGCAGTTAACTGCTTAACGACCAACTTAGATTGTCATCAATCTTTTATTGGAAAAGGACGAGTTGGAACATATAAATAGCTGGGTGACCATTTTGTTACTTTTAATAATCAAATGACTCAAAAAAGCAATGTCTTATGATCAATGGACCATTTTGTAACTTTTAATAGTAGAAGAACTCAATAAAGTGGTGTCCTATAGTTAAGGGACCATTTGTTTATTTTATCCAATATTTAATTAGATTTAATATAGATATATTTTTTATTTAATTATAAAAAGTATATATTTGTTTAATGATGTAGGTGATTTTATATTTTATAATTCACTTATATTATATCTATTTAAGATCTTTTTAGTATGTGCCTACTTATAAAAAAAATTATATCAAAATACCCGATCTATAGGTCAAGATAAAACTTGATTTCAAGATTTTTTTATCTCAAATACTTTCTCTAAACAATCAATATTTTTTTAAAGTTTTTTTAAAGTTCTAATTTAAAGTTATTCAGAAATTCCAATTAAAAGTATCAATGTAGATTATAATTATAACATGTTTTAATCTTGATGTCCTTATAAAGATACGTGAGGAAGTTAGATCATCTTTACAACCTTAAAAAATATTTACTAAATTAAGTATACTACGTACAAGTCCGTCTTTTTACATGTGTGAGATGTGATATGTCGTAAGGCCCCACACTTTAAAAAAAATCTGCTAATAAAAATATATTTCTCCAAAAAATTGCTATCATTCCTTTATTAGTTTTCATGATAAGATTTGTTTTTAAAAAATCTTTTAATTTTCTCTTTTATTATCTCAATAAATGAATTGTAAAAAACCCTATAATAAATGAATTGTAATCATTTATTCTTAAAAAACTCAACTAAAATCATGATTTCTAACGGGGAAAAATATTTTAGGGGACTCAGTTTATAATTTTATTTTATTATAAAATATTTTAAAGACCTGATTTTAGAAAGTATCACAGGGCCTCTATATCTTTTGGGACGGGACTAATCACGTACGGTTAGATTGATTTAGTCTGTCTAAATGTTTAATTAAGCAAATATATTCGCACATATTTTCAAGGAATTTCTAAATGCTTTTGCATTTTAGATCCTTTTGTGATAAATTTCACAATATAGGAATCCATAAAATCATTATACGTATTTTAAAATTTTTCATATCCTCACTAATAAAGTAATTGCGTCCGCATAATAAAAATTCTTCGTAATTTAAGTTATATTTTATATCTGAATAATATATATAAATTTCAAATAAAACCAAATTCGAGTAATAACTAATATATATATATATATATATGGTAATGAAGGTTTATATATAATAAAGATTCAAGCAAAGCATATAATGTATTTAGTATTTAGGTTAGCAAGGGTTATTAAATAGTTGACAAAAATAAAACAATATCTTCTGATATTAGGATAATCTACTACTATTCCTGATAAAGCTTGAGAACCAAGTTACTCTCCCTATTAATTAAGATCAATACCATTTATAGATACGATATTCTGCATATCAAATCTTGCCTTGCTTAATCAATGCTGGCTTTCCTTTTTAGAGAAAAATCAAGGGTTTGGTCTTCACTTTTTCATTATTATATATATATATATATATATATATATATGCGCCAAGTTTATCAAGTCGAAGAGAGAAAGAAACAATGGAGCAAGTGAAGAAGAGAAGAAGGTGTACTCGTTGTGGACTTCATGGTCATAATTTCAGAACCTGTGAACACAAGGGAGATTGTGTAATGCTTTTTGGTGTGAATGTAGCAGCAGCCATGGATCAAAATCAAGAATGTTTCGGAAAAAAGAATCTTTGCATGGGAAACCCGCAGGCTGCAGAAAGAAAAGGTGGTGTTAATAGTTAGGAAAGATTTTAAACACATAGTATCGGAATATTATTATTAACTTTGAATTATTAAAGCAGGGAAGCCATGGACGGAGGAGGAGCATAGAATGTTCTTAGAAGGTTTAAGAAAGCTGGGGAAAGGTGATTGGAAAGAAATTTCAAAGAATTATGTAACCAGTAGGACCTCAGTTCAAGTTGCAAGCCATGCACAAAAATATTTTCTCAGACAGAAGCGAGATAAGAAAACACTCAGGCAAAGCTTATTTGACATGCCTTTTCAACAATCTGAATCCAATTCTGTATGAACTCTCAATCTCTCTCTCTTGCATTTGCTTTTCCACAATAGTAACATATATGCATGCAAGCATGTATGTATGTGTGAATGTATGAATAGGTAATTTATTCACGTTGATGACTAGAGTTACATGGTTTAAATTCACAGCATGAATGCCCTTGGGGTTCCTCATCTCATACTGTGAACCGATTTCCACCGATTTTCTCCGATGATTACCCGATCACGCCGATGATTGAATTCCCAATTTTACGGACTAGTAATCCAACGATTCAACCCATGGTAAGAAACTCTCTGCAGTTCTTTTGTTTCCTCTGGTATTCCAGATTACCAGAGATAGACAACCTAATGAATTAATGTTTTAACAGGCAGAAGTAAGTTCTAACATGATGCAGCCTCCGGCGCCAGTTGGACTGCCAGACGTCGGCACACCGACTGATCATGCTTGGCCGATGTCGGTTCGGAACAACATGTTTGAAGCATGCCCTGGTGGTTCATCAAAAGAGGAAGATCATTTAGAGCTCAAGATTGCTGCTCCCTCAACCATCAGAATGCATAACCGTTAAACAAAATTGTCATTATTAGAACTAAGTTCCCAATATTATCTAGTTTTAAACAATAATTTCCGACACATTGACTAATACATGATTACATTACATCATAAACTATCTGCTAGACATGAAAAATATTGTTATAAACTCATCTTTTTATTAATATAGAGTGATTATAAAGTAATATTTATTTGAAAATCTCTCAATCATTCGATAATGACCGTTCAAATATCCATACACATGTTGTGTTTGAACTCAAAACCTCTAGAGATAATAAACATCCCTTTAATCATTGATATTGCTTGATTTGTATTACAAATTTATCCTTAAATGTACGTTTATCAACATATTCAGACACTAATAAATGTACTTATATCGACAGAAAAAATATGGAATGTAGATACATGGAAAGTTAATTTATTATAAACTAATCAATAAACTTAGTGAAAATCCAACGGATCATTTTTTTAATAGTGTTAGAATATAGAGCAGTAGATATAAGAGCATGATATAAGAAAATAAAAATACTCGCAATTGAGATAAAAAAAAAGAAGAAGAATTTGAAGTTTTATGGTCTTTCCATCGTTTTCCAGGGTCCGTATTTTCTGTAGGAATTAAAAGAGACTAAACATAAGTTTTTACTGAAAAATATAAATCTTCGGAATCTTGGAACTATAGTTTACCATCTGAAACTATTTTATTGGGTTAATCTTTAGAGTGTATTTTAGAGTTTTGAGATTAAGCTTTGATAAAGCTGGTAATTCCTTATACACCTAAATTGGCCTTTGGGTAGCTTTATAGGCCCCAAGGTACTCTCTTAGATTGGCTCATATATTATAAGATGTAGGGTAAATCATTATGGATGCAATTCTAAGGGACTGCATTTTGATGTATAAGTGGAGAGCAATTATATGATTTAAATAAATATCACTGTCGTTGTTACGATACTTTACTGGCCCACGATTTTGGTATTACAGCTTACTACTTAATCTGATTAATATTGTTTGGGATGTATTATGGAGTTCTACAGGTTTAACTCCGATCAGGCTGGTAATTCTATATGAACTTAAAGGGACCCTTGGGTAGGTTCTTATGCCCCAAGGTACTCCCTTAGATTGGATCCTACGCCCAATGGGCCTATGGTAAGTCCTTATGAATGTAGTTTTGGAAAACTGCATATCGTGTTCAGGTGGAGGGTATTACAATGATTTTAAAACTTGTTTTCTTGAAATAAACTAATACTACTGTTTTTAAACTATATACACACTTATTCCTGGCTTCGTGGGGAAACACTATACACCCGTTTTCAATCTCCTAGAACTGTCTCTCTGAATGCTTCCTCTAAACTATAGGTTTCATGAATGTTACCTGAAGATATAATTAATGAAACTCAACTCACCACTAGAACATGTATAAGCCTGGATCAATAAGAAAGTTTTATGCTTTGCCATATATCTACTTGTCATTTAGCATCATCTGATAGTTCTTTATTACTAAGGGGTTGTTTGATAAAATAAAATGATTAAGCGTTGAATGATTCAATGGCCTGAATGATTCAAAGGCTCTATATGAATTGGCTATAAATGTGACATGTTGTTTGATAATGGTTCTGAATGTACAATCTGAATTATGAATATTTTCATTTTTACCTTCATAATGATTTATTATATTATAAGATATGATTGTTTAATAAGACAACATGTGAAAAAATAGGTATTATGGTAAAATATCGGGTGCTTAATGATTCAGAATGTACTTTAATGCTGAATCATTCAGCAGTGTTGTGATGTTTCATTCAGCAGTGTTTTGATGTTTCATTCAACATAGTCTTCATTCAGAGGTGAGAATCAAACACGCTGAATGCTTAACGGTTCAGCATTCAACGCTGAATGGTTCCATTCAGCAGTAAACAAACAACCCCTAAACTTTCATGAAGCTCACTCTTTACACACCATTTCAAGTTAAATGAGTTGATCTTGTGTAGTTATTGACATCAGTAATGGGAGTTCCTTCGATGTTGCTTGCGAAGTATGATACTTGTATAATTAAGGAGCATGTAGGTCATATTTTGTATGTATATTAGAGTCTGTAACTTGTTTTGATACAATGTATGATTGAGTTTTGTTTTGATATATAAATGATTTCTGAACTTGTTCAATTTATTTATAAATTGTTTTACGTTTTTAAATGGTTTGATAAAAAAATTAATTTTCCTAGATTTTTATTATGGATCGCTCCAGTGGCCTTAATGTAATACCTCAGATCGGGTCACCCGTATTGGTTTGAGGGTGTTACAATAGGAATCATATGTCATTTATGAGGTTTCGAGATATTAAGAAAGAAAATTATGATATTTTTGTGTTTAAGTGTTCTAGATTGACTATATTTCACGACTATATTTATGAGGTTGCAACCTAAAATGCGGTTCAATATTTATTTCACAGAAGGTATCGATATTTGTAACTAAGTATTGGTTCTTAGTTACAACCTAAAATGTTCTAAAATGTTAAACACGATTCAATACTTATTTCACTACAAGTATTGATACTTAGTTACAATCTAAAATGTTATATATTTGGTAACATTTTTTATTGTAACCTAAAATGTTAAATACGCTTCAATACTTATTTTATGGCAAGTATTGATTCTTGTAATTAAGTATCAATACTTATTGGTATTATCAATTAGCATGTTTCATGGTTGCAACTAAAAATATTACAAGTAAGACCACATTTTTAGTCGCGCTCAACTTATATTATTATGATTCTTCTCACATTTTCAAGCATGCCATTTTTAATTTCAAACTAGAGTACGTTCTTACTGTTGATGACTCGCAACAGTTACCCAAACAAATTTTTACCATAATTTTCGTCCTCTTGTTCTTTTTTCTTAATTCCAAGACTTTAAGTTATAGTGACTCTTGTAATTTGAATGAATGAAAAACTGAATATCTTTTCAGGAAGATTTTAAGCAAGATATCAGTTCCTTCAAGGGTACCTCATAAAAATGAAAACTTTTACTTAACTCTATTATCACAACTAAAGTTTTTTATAAATAAGTGTTTATTGAATATAAGAAAATTAATTACTCTTTCAATATTTTAAAATTATAGTTTTTTTCTGTCAGGATTGATGATGATTTCTGGGTGTGAGATGATCTAAGGAAGAAATGTGTATTGATATACTCTTTTTAACAACGTGTAATGTTTTAGATTATTAAATGTTTATTGATTTGTTCAAAAATGGTGGTTGTGGGAGGTAGCAAGTTTGCATGGAATATGATGGTAGGGCCGCAAGAACTGATTTAGCCAACGTCACTCGCCCGGCAAAAGAAAGGTATCGCGCTTGCCAACCCGAGAGAGTCTGTCTTGTACCTTGTATGGGGATTGAACGGCTTATCCGCAGATTTATATGTGGTGGTTCCGATGAGCAACGGAAAGAGCTGTGTGAACCGGTTGAGAATGGTGGGCTCGGGTTTAAAATTTTACAAACCCAGAATGCCGTTTTTCTTACGAAGATTGCTTTCCGTCTTATGTCGGAGGGAAATCAGCTGTGGGCTCGGGTTTTAAAGTCCAAATACAAACTTGAGAGCCATGTGCCAATTTCCATTACTAGGCCGGGGAGGCTTTGGTCGGGTTTGTCTCTAGTGTGGAATGACGTTCGAACGGGGCTGTTATGGAGTATTCGGATGGCTCATTGGTGGATATCTGGAATGATGTATGGATAGCAGATTTGGGTGCCTTAAGGGATTGGTGCACTGATCCTGTACTGCTGAGTGATAACCCCCTTTGCGTGCAAGATCTGGCGGAGAATGGAGAGTGGAGATGGGACCTGTTGGAATTTATTTTTCCAAACCGGGTTCTTCAACATGTTGCAGCAATTAAAGCACCGAATGAGGGTGGCGGTGCTAATGTTCCAACCTGGAGATGGAAAGCGCACAATGGTTTTTCGGTGAGGAGTGCATACATCAGCAGAAGAAAGGCTGTGGGATTTTCGAATCAGCCCTCGATGTGGACACCCCTTCAGTTTTATCGTGGTTTGCCAAGGATTTTCTCTGGCTGCTATATAAGAATAAACTACTTTCGAATGAGGTGCGATGACGTAGGCACATGACAATGGAGTTGAGGTGTGACATTTGTGGAGCAGTCGAATCTACTAGATTGTACAGCGGCGAAAGTGTTGTGGGACAATTTAATTAAGCCAGAGAATTCCTAGCTTTATCACTGCAGCAATGGCTGGAAATAAATATTGGTAAGCCGGAGTACTTTCCCAAGGTTCATGTTGATTGGGATTTGATGTTTGGATCAGTTTGGCAATTGCTGCTCTGGATCGTTACAATCCGCAACGCACCAGTCACTCGCTTGCCTTCCATATTCAGAGGTTGGTGGATGAACAATGGGAGGTGAGTCTCACATATGCTCCTCGAGAACAAAATCAGTTAGCTGATGGCTTAGTCAAGCTTGCATGGAACCATTCTGGAGGTTTTCACGTTTACCACGTTCCACCGGTACCTGTTGAGGCTTTGTTTCAGCATGATTGTCGGGGTATGCGGGTCCAAACTACAAGTATTTAGCCGCTACATCTCTCTTCGTAATTCCAAAAAAAAAAGAGAAAAAAATCGGTGGTTGTGATCTTGGCTACTTTGTATACAAAATCTTGAATTGTTCACTTATTTCAAACCCTTATCATGCATAATCTCTACAATTCTATTACCATACTCAAGTTTTCTTTGGAAATTTTTAACTCGAATCTACCTTTGATTACAACAATTTTTTTTTTTTTGAATTTTCATCTTAAACTCTATTTTTATTCTTTCTTTTCTATCATGCGTTAGAGGATTTAAATTTTTTTTTTTTGAAAAATATTAGTCCCAAGAAGCAGCATAAAGTCTAAAAACAGATTCTTTAACTCAGATATTTATCGTTCCTAAAAGTGTCGTTCTCCACGTGGAATTTGGGTAAAAACTGCTGTCCTATCAGCAAAAAATTGAAGTCGTGAATCTGGTTTGACCGTCCAATGAGATGGAAGCGTATGCAAAACTCGTGGTTAGACCTCGCTTCACAAAGGCAAGCATTTGATCCATTTCAACCAATCGTTCGAAATAACTCGAAACATTTTTTACCAAAAACAAATACTGTTACTAAAATTTGATTACAAAATTAATATATCTGTTAATAAATAATATAAAAGTAAAGCAACCAACCTATACCATTACCTACCATTACCTGTACCTATACCGTGTTGAGCTCAGCATAGCATTTTGCCAATCAATTTTTGCGTGTCCACTACTCCACACGAATAACAAAATGTGAAATAAATAAGGAAAATAATTGTCGGCCTTAATTTTTTCTATTTAGTTTAGATTCTTAAATTAATTAATTAATTAGTGTTAGACCTAATTTCACGCGTTAACAAACGAGATTAATTCAACAACAAATCTGGAAAGTGAGTACTAATTATATGCACAATTCACAGTTGGAAATTAAATCGAAACTACTACTATTTCATAAATAAAATTGGCTAAAACAAACTGGGAACAGAATAAACCTAACCACTTAACCTGGTATATTTTTTTTTGTTCAGGCATTGGTCATCATCTTCTTGAACTCTTCGAAGTTCACGTTTCCGTCGCCGTCTTTATCGACTTGACTGATCATTCTCCGGCAATCACTCAAAGAGCACTTTTCGCCCAATCTCTTCATCACGGCGTGTAACTCTTTCGCCGAAATCAATCCGTTCTTGTCCAGATCGTACATGTCAAAAGCATCTTTGAGTTCTTTGTTCCCACACTGGCCATCGTCGCCATCGACGTTTGTTCTCTGGAAAGCAATGAACTCGTCTAGATCGACGTAGCCATCTCCGTCCTTGTCCATCTCCGACATCATCCGATCGATTTCGTCGGAAGAAGGCGTGGAACCTAAAGCACTGAGGACCGATTTCAGTTCCTCGCGAGAGATTCTACCGTCGCCGTTTTTGTCGAACTTGTTGAACACTTCCCTCATCTCTTCAACTGAACCTAAAGAACCCGCCATTGAAGAGATGAAAATGGATAAAGAAGTTAATGAACGCGGATTATAAACCAACCGCTTGATTTTTTTTTCTCTGTGATTTTGAAGGCATATTTATATGTCTATTAACGCGGTTTACTGATTCCGCGTGAAGGGAAGGAAAAGATGGGATATGCTCAGGTGTAGGGTAATTTTGTAGGGAAGCAACTACCTGGATATTGACACATGTTCACTAAAAGCAGTAAAATATTTGCTTAGAGTGGAAATTTATGTGACTTGAAAGGAAAGATTTTGGGTAACCCCCATATTATATGGTTGACTTATGCTGTTGTCGTCTCGATTTAAATTAGGGTAAACTACATAAATGACCACCCAGCTATGGGTTTGGTTTTGAAATGATCACTATTTTTAAATTTATGTCAATATGACTATTAAACTATTTAAATAGTTTCAATATAGCCACTACCTTTAAATTTAACGGAAGTGTTTACATGGAAGTTAATAAAATTAGTATAATTAGGGTGCAGGTCCTTATAAAGTTACGTATCTACGACGCTAGCACCTTGCTTTGTTTTCTTTCATTTTGGTCAAAATAGACAAACGAGAACTTAAATCTAGGCCAATTGAGAATATGACAATACTTAAATTGCTAAAAAATTATAATATTTAGGAATCAATTAAAATAATTTTTATAATATTTTTAAATTAAATTTATTTATTAATGATTATATATATGAAATTATATTTAATATTAAATTAAAAAATTATTTAACATACACGAACTCACGAGCAAAATTTAAAATGAAAAGGTAAATTTATAAATTGAATCTTTTTATTATGATTATAGTTTGAATTTTAAATTATTTTTTAATGACTTCATATAGATTATCATTAAAAATAAATATAAAAACGATAAATTTTGTTTAAAAATATTTAAATCTTAAATAAATTATAAATTAAATTAAATTAAAATTAAAAACCCTCTAATCAAATTATGACATGTGTCACAATTTGATTAGAGAATAAATTTATTAAATTAAATTGAAATTAGGACCTAATTAAAGAATTAAAGTTAATCTTGGTGATCAAATTGATTAATTCTAAAATCTAAGGGATTAATTTATAAATTTAATACATGACTAGAATACAAGATTTTAAAATTAATGCTCAAATTAAGGCATTAGACAAATTTAAAAAAAAAGAATCAGGATCAAATTGCATTAAATGAAAAATCCAAGGAAACAAATCATAGATAAGTAGTGACCAAAATTGAAGAAAATAAAGGAGGGTTCCAACACCGCGAATACATAACTTTACAAGGACTTGCATCCTAATTATATTAATTTTATTAACTGTCACGTAAACACTTCTAATGACGGGTGGCTATATTAAAACTATTTAAATAGTTCAGTGGTTATATTGACGTAAATTTGAAAATGGTGGTCATTTCGAGACCAAACCTATTGGTGAATGGTCATTTATGTAGTTTACCCTTTAAATTAATAATTTTATTTTTATTTTTTAGTTATATTAATTTTGTTTTTTTAACTCGTTTAATTATATAATTTTTTTATCAATGTTAAAATCCTACCTACTATGGGACAAGGCCGAGAGTTTAAAGACTATAAACGCACGCAGCCCTCAGGCAAACCATTCAATTACCTTTTAACTCGTTTAAAACAAACACACGCACACGCACTTTCACAAATACAAAACCTTAACAATTTTTTAGACATTCTTTCTCATTGCATTCAACAATTTTCTAAATATTTTTATTACTTCATTACTTTTTTTTTTTACAAAATGTTAAATTTTTTATTAAATAGTACAATGTATAACAAAGAGAACACAATTCCAAAATGAAAATTTAAATAACCTAAAAAATATAAAATTAAAATCTTTCATTAAATACATGTTTCATCTCCCAAAAATAACTCAACTATTATATAATCTCTCGGTCTCTATTCAAACCTAGACGCAATATTATTGTAGGCATGAAGATTGAAAGGATCAATTTGACATATTGCTCCATGAACGGTTCTGTATGTCTTGACAAATTATCTTAAAAAGAGATCTAACTGTATGAGACCATCGATCTTTCTTGATCAAGAGATTTCGTCGTTATAAATGCAACACGAAACGAAAAATTATCATAACGATAAATAAAATCGTGCCATAAAAACAGACGAACAATCATGCCATAAAAGATGGATAAAAATAAACATTTCACTAATCTGTGAAAAGAAATAAATTAAAACAGGATGATGTTTATCAGGATCGGCCCTAGGCCAAGCCAGGAAGGGCACCTGCCCAGGGTCCACAAATTAAATTGTTTTAGTATAACATTTTTCTTTATTATTTGATAATAAATTAAAAGGCTATAAAATAAAATAAATGGGCTCATGAATTTATTAAAGTGTCATATGTCCTCGTTGAATTTTTATATTAACGCTAATAACTTGTTCTTCTCATAAAATTCTAATTCAATATTTATTTCCTAAAATAAAAAAAAAATCAATTGAATTTCTTTAATCTTGACCTTTTCCAAATTCTCTCAATCAATTCACCAAAACCCTTTCCAAATTTTTCATACCAATGAAAAATTTTATTAATGTTATTTTTTCTTCAAAACTCAATAAGAGGGGAAAAAAATTAAGTATAACTAGGATGCTTATTTTTTTCTTCCATGTTTAAAGATTCATTTGAAAATTATTATTCTTTTTTTAATTTATCATATTTCTCACAAACACAATTATTTATCATCAATTGTGGTGCTCGAATCATATTGAAGATTGTTCTTAAAATTCTAAATAGATCACATTTTCTAATTCTTTCTTTTGATTTTTATATATATTCATATTTTAGATAAATAACTTTTTTTTTCAAATGCTAAGTTATGTATTGAGAAAAGTATGTTTTAAAGCATTGATTTTGACACTATCATCAATGATTTTGCATCAAGAAATGCTTAAATATATTTTTTACAATTATATATTATAATGAAATGAATTACTACTTGTTTAATTTAATAAAAAAATTCTAAAAATTATATTACATATTTCTTAATTTTTTAAAAAGTATAGGCCTATTTTTTATTTTCGCCCCGAGGAAAAAAAATAATAAGGACCGACCCTGACGTTTATTTAAATCTAAATCAAAATAAAATTATGAGATAAATAAAAACTAAAGACGATGATACTAAATTGCAGTCTAAGACACACTCTAAAATAAAAATTAAAGAATCACTTTAAAAATAAATTTAGTACTTTTCTTTGATTTTATGCATTTTTATTATTATTTAATTATTACTTTATTACTATTTATTAAAATTTAAACTCATTTCCATATTATTATATTTTTCCCATATGGTAGGTGTGCCATTGCCATAAGACTAATCTTGATAGATTTTTTTAGTAGACGTATGTTAGGTATTCGATGTTACTCTCTAATTTATTTATGCAATTTAAAATTCGAGAAAATAACCTCAGTGACCAAAAATACCTTATAATATACGATTTTAACCAACTTTTTATAGATTTGCCAAAATGACCAACTAAATCGCAATGCGATCTCCGGTATCGCAAATCAGTTTCCAAATTCGCAACGCGAACTTCGACTATCGCAACGCGAACTTGGACTATCGCAATGCGAACAACGCGAACTTGGACTATCGCAATGCGAATATGTAAATCGCAATGCGATAGTCGAAGTTCGCATTGCGATAGTCCAAGTTCGCGTTGCGATTTATTCCAAATTCGACTATCGCAACGCGAACTTCGACTATCGCATTGCGATTTACATATTCGCATTGCGATAGTCCAAGTTCGCATTGCGATAATCGAAGTTCGCGTTGCGATTTATTCCAAATTCGACTATCGCAATGCGAACTTCGACTATCGCGTTGCGATTTATTCCAAATTCGTTGCGATAGTCGAAGTTCGCGTTGCGATTTATTCCAAATTCGTTGCGATAGTCCAAAATCGAAACGACTGGTGGTATTGCATTTATTTCTTAAGAATTTTCTCTAAAATGATAGTATTCGTGCGAACGTGTCGAAGACACGTATTACCACGACCACGACCACGACCCGACACGACACGACCCGACCCGAGACGAGACGAGACAAGACGAGACGGACGACGGCGGCGACGCGCGAGAGTCCCCTTGTTCTCTATCACTCAACAAGGAAGTGGGAAAGCCAAGCCTTAAATACTATTCCCAATAGTGTTTTCAATACTATGTGGGATTGAGCATTACCAACACTTGTTTTCAATACAATGTGATTATTCAGAAAACAATTAACAATCATGCACCTTAAAACAACTGAATCAGCAACCAATTGCATTAGTATTATACGATTAAATATGTCATAATTAAAAGTCAATCTACAATCAATCGCGATTATTGTAATTTTAAGCAAAACATTCAAAAATAATATCACTATTTAAAGCTCAATCTCACATAGTATTGGGAACAAGTGTTGGTAATGCTCAATCTCACATAGTATTGGAAACACTATTGGGAATGGTATTTAAGGCTTGGCTTTCCCACTTCCTTGTTGAGTGATAGAGAACAAGGGAGACTCTCGCGTGCCGCCGCCGCCGACGTCTGTCTCGTCTCGTCTCGGGTCGGGTCGGGTCGTGGTCGTGATCGTGATCGTGGTAATACGTGTCTTCGACACGTACGCGCGAATACTATCTTTTTAGAGAAAATTCTTAAGAAACAAATGCAATACCGTCGTTGCGAATTTGGACTATCGCAACGAATTTGGAATAAATCGCAACGCGAACTTCGACTATCGCAACAAACTTGGAATTTGGAATAAATCGCAACGCGAACTTGGACTATCGCAATGCGAATATGTAAATCGCAATGCGGTAGTCGAAGTTCGCGTTGCGAATCTGTAAACTGATTTGCGATACCGGAGATCGCATTGCGAATTATCGATCGCATTACGATTTAGTTGGTCATTTTAACAAATCCAAAAAAAGTTGGTTAAAAACGTATATTATAAGGCATTTTTGGTCACTGAGGTTATTTTCTCTTTAAAATTCCCATTTTCTACAAGAAACAGTGGGACACCGTG